ATTTAGCAACTACTGTTTCCCCAAATCTACAGCATAACAGCTACCTCAATATGATACATCAAAAGGCACAGTTAAAATTAAGGTACACAAAACACTCGGGGTCCTTTTGGAGCATCTATAGTCAGATCATTTATGAATAAGATTCAGAAGTTACACACCTTTGATTGCACACTGAGAGGCAGAAGGTCATGTGACTTCTTAAAGGCACTTCGGTTGAGCCTCCAAGATACACATGTGCAGAAGTTGCTGCCCCCAGTTTGGGTGAGTTGGAGCATGACCCAGGTCTGGAAGTGGGAACAGTCACCGGCCCCAGTGACCTGCCCTGTGGAGGGCCTCCCCTGCTCCTCCGCTGCACCTGCTGGCTGAGGCAGCCTGCTCAGGGAGAGACCCTGCCAGATGAAGCTGGGAGCAGATGCCTCCAGGCCGACTTAGCCGGGCTGTGACTTTTCAAGGTGCATCTGGGCCTCCTTGCTGCCTCTGGGCACTTCCTTCCTCGCGCTTCCTTCTTCAAGCCACAGCAGCACCAAGCACATTTGATACCTAGCCACTGCATACATGATGGAGGGTGGTTTTTTGTTTGGTTATTTTTGTCTCGACCCAGTGGCCACACCCGTCTCTGGAATGTCTTACAAATGCCTGTTTCAAGAGGGGTACACTGTTTTGACCAACCTGCACTGCAGGTGTTCCTTGGGGTGTCACTTAAAGCCTGTCTTTTAAGTTCACAGCAGTGTGTCCATTCAGGACAGCGAGGACATCCCACTCTGTGGAAGTCACCAACTACGATCGGTGCCAGCCACCGAGGGCTTACTGCTTATTAACAAGTGTCCGCGGAATTTTTTTCCCACGTACCCAGTCTTTACAGCACTGGCACAGCCCGGCACCGGGTGACTCCAAAGCCAGGCTCTCTGCCCTTGTTCTTCTCCTTTTAAAAAAAAGTGGCCCAGCTTCTCTTAACTCTTGGTCCAAGCTGATTTATAGGGTTCCCCCTGGGATTAAGGATTCTTGCCAGGCTCCAAAGGTTGAGTCTACATTTTTTGCTGGGATATATATATGCCATTTTAATAGAATTCAGGAAACTGGTCATCGACCCCCAGCCTGTGACACACACCAGAGTAAGAATAAAGGCAGTGAACTTTCCTCTGACTCAGGATAGAGGAGATCCATTACATTTCTCTGGAAACCACAATGCAAATTAGAGGTGATATTGAAAGTTGAAAAGACAATGAATCCTCATGCATTAGTTTAAAGAATTACAGAATTCTTTCCATTATGCTCTTTTTGTGGAGTGAGGCTCATAAAGGCTGTGGGTGTGGCCCACATATCCAGACAGCAACTGAGAGGCTAGCAGCCTGAGGCCTGGGACACCTTCTCAGGTCTAGCATGGGGCTCTCAGCAGACCATTTGCTTCTGGACATTTCAGTCTGAGACAAAGACAAGTGTCACCGTGTACTACCCCTCCTCGGGAAAACGGGGGTGGGGGGGACGGGGACCATATAATGTGGCCCAGCTGAAATACATACAGCCACATCCTTTTGGAATTCCTTGCCAAACAGAACAGACCAAACTCCACCCATGTTCAATGTCACATCTTGATTGAAGCAATGGAGAACGTCAAGGACTCCAGCGGCCCCCCCTAGCTGTTCATTATTTGCAAAAAAAAAAAAAAAAAAACTAAGAAACTTTTTTTTTTTTAACATCAGAGACGGGGTTAAGACCTGGATCAGGTTATTTTTTAATTTAAAATATGTTTGCTAGTTTGGGTCAAATGTGAAGTACTTCCCCAAGTGCTTCTTCGGAGAAGGGAATATACTAGGCTCCTCCTCCCTAACCCTTCTCCCCACACCCAACATCAAAACTTTGCTAATCCTACAAACTGCGGCACCACCGTGGAGACCAGTGCAGGGACCGGCCCTCCACCATGAGCCCGGAGGTGAGGGCTCTTGGCCCCAGGGGGTCCTCCGGCCTCAGCATGGCCTCCTCAGGGCAGGAAGGTCAAGGTCCGGGCCCTGAAGACAAGTGAGTGACCAATCTTTCCAAAGTAAAATCAGTCACTTTTGGAAACTATCTTCTCTTTTCAAAAGCACAGATATCTGTTCCTTTTTTCAGGCCTAAAAAAACAAAGAAAAAAAAAAAAAGAGTACCTCACAACAGATGAATACCACTCAGTACCCTTTCCAGTAAGGTCACAGTCATTGTGTTTGTCATTTTTCCTACACTGTATGGTAAAATGAACTATGTTAATAGCTATATCTTAAATACTGTGATTCAAGTTTAAGAAAAATTTTAGTGTATTTTACTACCTTACAATCGTGCATCTAATAACAAAGATTTGGATTCTTTTGAAATCAGTATTAGTTGACATATACTCTTAGTAGCCTGGCTCATGGAACCTACTGGAAACACAAAGGATGCTGGAATGTAAGTGACGTACAGTTGCACACACATGTGCACACGCACAAAGCTTTTTGTTACCTTCGTCATGAGTCACGTGCGAGCACAAGCGAGTCTGTCTTCACCGTCTCTTCTGGCAAGGGGGCCAGAGACCCAGGTCCGGAGTCACTACCTGCTACCAGCAGTGACCTGCTGAAGACCTGAACTATTCCTGGGTCGTGGGTCACAGTCTGTTCTTCACGGAGTTATTACCTGTGGGTTATTACCAAAGCACTCAGGCAATCCAAAATGTTCGGGTGGGATATTTTGCACCGGTGGTTCTCTGGCAGCCCCCAGATGGCCCAGCCCGAAGCATACAACAGAAACCACAGACCCCGTGAGGCTCCCGTGGGTCGTTCGCAGTATCTCAGCAGAACTTCTTGATGTCCACAGGGCCGTGGCACTGAGAGTGTCTGACTGACACATGTCAGAACATCAGATGGATGCAGATTTCCAAAGCAAGACTGAGCTTGGTTTCTTGGTGTGTTTGTTACCACTCTGGTGCCTTATATACTCTCCAAGTATTCAGGGACTGACAGACCCCTTGTCTTCATACTAAACAGGAGCAGTTCCAAAGCAGATCTTTTAGAGCAGGTTCTGGGGTTCTCTCTCTGGGTCTGGTGGGGGGGCATCCATCCAGGGCCTCAGGGAGCAGGGGTGTGCACAGAAGAGCAAATGGAATCTTCCGAGTCACATTAACCAATAGCGGTTCCAAGCAATTAAAAAATGACTATAACTTTAATTTAAAAAAAAAAAATCTTCGGTCTTATTCTGTTTCCTGCTAGGAGATTGAATTGATCACATATTTTAATATCCTGAATTTATGGGAATGTACAGGTTTGGAATGTCCTACTGTAAGACTGATGAATGTCAGGAGTTAATTTCAGGGTACAGTGTTGCCTTAATGGTTTTAAAAAATAAAACTATTTTTTAAAATTGGTTGGTGAGTTCTGAGTGATGCCGTGAGATGAACTTTTGGCTTGAAAATCCCCGGCTAGAGCATCTGCCCTCAGCCCAGGGCAGCCCCCGCCCCACTCCCCAGGGGTCTTCACCTCTGGTCCTTCTGTCCTTCAGTTCGAATGGACCTAGGACAATGTGGCCCCAAAATGACAGCCATTCGTCTAAAGTAATGTGATGCAGGGGAAGCATCCGAAAATAAAACCCAGTGCGCCCATCAGCCAATAAAAGCTCTTTCTTCGTTCTTTCCTCAAATGCATGTCTGCCTCCCGACCCCGGCCCCGGGGGCAGCGTCAGCTGGCCTCCCAGTAGTTACAGGTGAAGACAGAGCCGCTCTGGCCCTGAGAGCCAGCAGACAGAGGCCAACGAGCCGTTCAGTGTGTCCCCCACGGCGAAGGTGGGGGCCACGGGGGCAGGGGAGCCCGCGGGAGGGGTGCCCGTGGGGGAGGAGTGCCCCAGGGCCGCCTACAGTAGCTTGCAGGGCTGGTGCGGGGTCCCCCGTGGAGAGGGGCAAGCCAGCACCTCAAGCTGTGAGCCCCTGCGTGAGGGGAGGGAAGGCATGGGAAGGGCATTGCTCTACCTTGGAATGGGACCAGGCCTATAGGGGCGGGAGCTGGAGTCCGCGGGCCGGATAGGATGGAAGAGGCTGCACGTGGCAACACCCCAGCCCCCAACCCAAGCCAGAACCAGGGTGCCAAGGAGAACATCTGCCTCGCAAATGTTTCCAGGGAAGGATTACTTTTCAAAAAATTAACCGGTTCTTTGGGTATTTAATTATGGATCTAACACATGGTCAAGATTTAAAACGTTTTCCAAGCACAAGGATGTGAAATAAAATTCCACTGCCCCCAGACACCCCAATCACGCCTGCAGTTCCCCACACACCTCAGCCACCTTCCCACAGGTCACCTCCCTGTGAACCGTCCCAACAAGTGACATCTTCACCACATGAGCACTCACTCCCTAGGATGGGGAAGACAGGAGGCCCCACCCTAGCCGTCCTGCCTCCGCATAAGCACGGACAGCATGACCCCCCAGCGTGACCAGAGGGCCTCCTCACACTAGACCAGGACAGTGGGCTTTGTCCCTTCATTCCTGTGTCCTCAGGGCCAGGCAGAGTAGCATGTCACCTGGAGGCAATTCCTGGATCAGATGAATCGTGCAAAGGGCACAAAGAGCCTTCCACGTCCGGCCGTGTGTAAGCAGGAGCCAGGGGATGACCCTGCAGGAAGGCCTAGAGCCCCAGGTCCAGGAGTAGAGCAAAAGGGCCCGCAGGCCCAGCCTCAGCTTCCCTTTGTGCCAGTTCTGAGCCATTTCTCAGTTCCTGCCCTGCAGTCTCAGCATCGAGGAGGCTCTGGACAGGGTTAGGTCTGCAGGATATCTGTTCTGAGGTCTGCCTTTTGAGTGCTTTCTCTGCCTGACTCCCGATCACCTTCCTGCTGCAGGCTGGGCCCCAGCCCGTTCCAGCTGCACACGCTGCTCCCACCTGCCCCGGAACAAGGCAGGGCACGACAGGTCCTAGCTCAGCCCCATCCCTGACCCAGGCTGCAGGGGCTCTGCCAGCCCAGAAGCTCTGTGCTAGGTGCTGATGCCAACCTGGCACCCAGCCGCACTCACGTCCGAGAGTCAGGCTGGCTGGCCGGCCTCTTTGATGGAGCTTTCCTTTTCTCCAAGTCTTGCCGGATTTCCTGAGGGAAGGCATCCATGTTTTCCTGGACACAGGGGAGGCAAAACCTCTTGGAGTAGAATAAACTGCATTCCTGAAAGAGAATGGGGGAAGGATGGGGGCTAAGTACCACAGAGTAGGGGGTGCAGCTTCTCCCAGAGGCCAGTCCTTCACCCCGTACAGGGCGGCAGTGGGGAGGGGAGGGTGCTAGGCAGGGGCAGCTGGGGGTTCGTGTTGGCAGGGGCTGGCCAGGGCCAGAACAACACGAGGGAGAGCAGGGCGCAGGGCTGGCCAGCCACCTCCAAGAATGCGGTCATCACCTAAGAGAAAAAGACACAATGGAGGGCCGCCAGGGAGGAGAGAGCAGGTAGGCAAGAGACCCGTGTCAGCCCCCGCAGGCAGTGGGGTATCGGGGGGTTCTGAGCATGTGGGAATCACCCAGTGAGATTGGCGAAGGTGTCAGAGAGAACAAGGCAATGCAGGCCTGGGTCAACCCGGGTGAGAGAGCCCGGATGGCGAGGAAAGACTCTGGAGACCGCCATGCTCCGTCACAGGGGACATGGAAACAATGAAAAGCTAGAGCCCGGGCCACACCTAAACTGTCAGAGATTCTAGATCCCTCCCTCTCCTGGTTATCACAGCAGTGTGACAGGGGCTTGGTGACCACCGGTGCTGGGTGCAGCCCCACAGACCAAAAAGGCCACTGGTGAGTGGCTGGTCTGGGTGGGAGGTCAGATCTGTCCAACCGCGGCCATTCTCCCCTGTGCCCAACCTTTGCCACTCAACTCCTGAGATTCGCTGCCCAGGGCCCTGTCCAAAGACTACTTTCCCAGCCCCTTCTGCGACGGGGTGTGGCCACAGGACTGGGTCTGTGTCACCGGCAGCTCTGTGCCGCCTCCTGGTTGTGCCCTTTGAAGGAACGGGCATGCGCTCCCTGTCTCTTCCGGCGGACGGGAGCATAGGTATGATGGTGGGAGCTGAGGCAGCCACTGCGGACCCAGGGGATGCTGTGTTTTGAGAACAGCAGTGGCACCACCTGCTCTGGACTCTTTACACATACAAAAAGTAAGTGAAGACTGTCGTGATCAGGCCACTGTATTTAGGGGGTCTCTTTGTTCCAGCAGCTCAGAGTGTGCCTCAGCTAAGACAAGGCTGTCCTTCCTGCAGTTCTCGGAAGAGATCTGCTCCCGTGTAAGAGAGGGGACTCGCCACCAACCGAGCACTTCATCCAAGAACACTGGAGCTCTCGGATACCATATGGAGCACCCTCTCCTCTGCTCACCAAGTGCAGCCCAAATGTGTAAGTGTGGCATTTAAGGCTTCTCCCCTCCCCCGTGCCCAACCCCCCTTTCCAGTCTTCATTTCCCAACTGCTTCTCTCCTGCTGAGTCCTCACCAGCCGTCCCATGTCCTCGAACACGCAGGCCTCTGCCTTGCTAAGGCTTCGTCGCACCCCGTCAAATCTCATCACCCTGACCGTTCAGGGACAGAGGCTGACGTTTAAACCCAGTCTGTGATGCAGCACTCTGGCCCGTACTCTGCCCCAGAGCAGAATGCCCAGGGACCGCTGTCCTGCTGCGGGGCTCGGGTTACAGGGGCCACACCTCAGCCACGCAGCCCCACCTCCACCCACCCCTGGGCTGTCCAACAAGAGGCTCACTAACCTGGTGGCCTGGGCCTGCTCAGCCTCCTCAACCCTGTGTCCTCACCTATCAGATGGGGGCAATACTGCTTTGCACAGCGAGGCTTGGGGCACGATTGAAGGAAACTGCACTGGGAAAACAGGCCCCAAGCACAGGGCCTGACCCACAGCTAATGCTCAAGAAAGCACAGTTCCTTCCTCCGGAAGGTCCCTCCAAGAACAACAGGAAGAAGGCCACCGTCCCATGGAGAGAAGCACAATGGCCATTGGCATGGCTGGGAGGGGGAGAACTGTCAGCACCCACTCCGCAGCCAACACTGAGACCCTCTAACTGACCCCAGCTCGCCCCTCTGCCTGTCTACTCACCTTTTTGGCTGGTCCACCCATCCATAATGAGGTGGACCAGCTGGCCTCCAAGAATCCCTGGGCCCCCACCATGTGACTGAGAGGGCTCCTAGGATCACTGCCACAAAGAGAGGCTGACGCTCATGCCATCCTCGGGGAAGGCTCACAGGTCACCTTTCCCACGATCATGTGTGGGGTCCCAGCCACAGGGAGGGAGGGAGGGAGGGAGGGAGGGAGGGAGGGAGGGCGGCCCCAGCCCACGCAGCTTACCCACCGGGCCCACGCACACCAGCCGGCTGCATAAACTGCACTTTGAGCCGAGGACCAGGAATCTGTCCTT